CGACCGGGACTAGAACCCGGTGTGCCGGCGCCGCAAGGCGGAGGATTAGCCTAGTGAGCCACAGCGCCGGCCAATAAATACAAATTTTTAAAAGTAAATTGTAAATTACTAATTGTAATTAGTATATTGTGATTGCAGAGGGTCACCACACTTGGGACATTAAAAATGCTACCAGATCCAAGAACTACCAACTGGAATTTTATTACAGAATGAGTTACAGATAAATTCTCCCTTATGTCAACAAGCTTTTATCTCCTTAAATATCCCTATGTGATTTTCTATTAAATACCAGAGTGGCATTCTTGAGAAGTGCCATTGAGAAATGGTACCAGGTCCAGACTCCTTTAAGGAAGGACATGCGAGGGGCAGAGCTGTGCAGCAGGCAGGCAGCCCAGCTTCGCAAAAGCTACCCTGCAGGCTCCTGGCACGCTTCCTTCCTCGCCACCAGTGTCCCCGAGGAAGGTCCGCTCAGCCAGAAGGGCATGAAAGAAGAGCCCAGAGCAGGCCTTCTCCTGCAAAAGGGTAAAGGAAGCTGAAAAAGGCAGCAGGGAAGGATAAGCCAAGGGAAATCAGGCTGAAGTGGCTAGCCAAAAAACTAAAGATTTGACTGGAAAAAAAAAAAAAAAACCAGAGAAATGAAAAACAAGGAGAGAGGCCAGCACTGTGCCATAATGGGTAAACCAACAACCTGCAGTGCCAGCATCCCATTTGGGTGTCCGTTTGAGTCCCGGCTGCTCCACTTCCGATCCAGCTCTCTGCTATGGCCTGGGAAAGCAGTGGAAGATGGCCCGAGTGCTTGGGCCCCTGCACCCACATGGGGGACCTGGAAGAGGATCCTGACTTCAGAATGGCGTAGCTCCAGCCTTTGCAGCCATTTGATGAGTGAACCACCTGATGGAAGACCTCTCTCTCTCTGACTCTGCCTCTCTGTGACTCTGCCCTTCAAATAAATAAATAAATCTTCAAAAATAAATATATAAAAACAAAGAGAGTCCAGCTTCTGATGAAGCAGAGGAGAAAAGAGCCACATCTGATGAACATCACCTGTCTCCCTGCTTGAACAAGGCAGAGGCATATTTTTATCATCCATATTTTTATCATCCACTTTGTAAATGTATGTTTTAGTAGCTCCAGAAACAATATTAAAGGGAGAATCCCACCTCGTCCCATTTAAAGGGCAATGTTTTTAAAAGATGAAATCGTTTGCTGGAGAAGGGTGGTAAAAACAGAAAAGAGTGGGTTACTGAACTTTGACTCTCTTAGTTATCAGTTAAACATTTAATAGGTTTATATAACCTATAATACAAAGGATACTATATAGCTGTTTGGAGGCACAGTAGTAGATTCAATGTCTTATACATTTTCAATACTTCTACTCCTATCTTGTTTGGTAAAATCATTCCCTACAAAAAACAAAACAAAACAAAACAAAACAAAACAAAAAAACACTCGTTTCAGTGTTTGCAGGTTACCTTACCCTGTGAGAACTGTGTGTACTGTACAACCTCATTGGTTGTAGTCTTCCAATTTTCCAAATAATTCCATTAATGTGCAATGAAAGAATGAATATTTAAATATGTAGCATATATAATATTAGACTGTCAGATGGTTGGAATTATACTCAACATTTGGAAATGGGGGTGTTTGATAATCTCTCAAGGAAAATATGCCTCCAAATTTGAAGCTGTAAACTCAGTAGATTAACTTTTAAAATGAATCACAGTACATGGCTTCCTAGTTTTTTTGGCAAGTACGTTAAGAATCGTGTACAACTTTAAATGTCTATGTATTGATTCTCAACACCAAGCAAATTCAATTGTGAAAGAAAAAACTGTGTGCTAAATCACATTCATACAGAAGCCATGCATAAGGACAAACTAGTGCTTATGTTTGCATACTGAGAGAACACGCTCATGCATGCAAGAGAGAGTGAAGCACACCTTAACCTCAATATCTGAACTGTGAGTACAAGTTAATGAAACAACCAGAAGTTTCTACAAAGCATGCAGAGACTAGACAGCTCACCGCAGGACTGCTTCGGCCCGAACTTGCTCTTGATGAGTAATAACTGTATTCAGAGGGCTATAAGGTTTCCAAAAGGAAAGGTTTTTACAACGGTCAGCTCCTTTGTCTGCTGAGTCTACATCAGTGACCCTGGAGCTAACTCGCCTACTTCCCAGGATGAAGGTAATGGGTCCTGCCCAGCCTGCGACTCCGCCTCACACCCACCTTCAACATCCACCACCCACGGCAGGAGGCAGAAGAGAGAAAGGGCTGCCCAGAACTCCTGCAGAAGGAACCGCTGAGCAGCCAGAGAATTCTCTGCTAACTCCCCTCACCCTACTCCAGGACGTGCAGCAGGCACTTTCTCATGTGTGAGAGTGCTGACACCACAGCGTATCACGCAATTACGGGTCAGCTTAAATGACCTCTCCTTCCTAAGTAAACTGCACCCAGCCACACCTCCCTGCTCTTCACCACCTCCCTGTTTTCACTTACAGTTCGAGAACCGTAAGAGTTATATAATCCACCATCGTACAATGATGCCTAAAGAACAAAAGAAATACCATTTATCTTTTCAGCATCAAGGTAACTTTGAAAACATCTCAACCTTTTTGCAGTATTCAGTCCCCAAAAAAAAGTTTTGAAGAATGGTATAGTGTCCATTCTCCCAATGTGAAGACTCTGCAGGTGGTAACCCTCATTTATATGTATAACTGGCTGTGTCCGTATCATTACTACAAAAACTACTGATTAATCTTTCACCACCATGTTACGAAACAGGAAAACTAGCATTTGAATTTTTCTCAAAAGAGGAAATAGAGCAGAAAAGGAAACTCATATAGAGCATTTTTCCCACTGTCACAGTAAAACTGAGTTACAAGATCCCAGTGTCCCAGCCCACAACACAACAAACAACAGCTTGAAAGCAACAACTCACAGCTCCTACATTACACAGAACTGTTACTTATGCTTTTCTAGTCAGACCCTAGTATTAACATGGCCAAAGTCATAGCTGTCCCAAAGAAAAACATGGCATCCCTTCCATGGGCAATGGATGGGAGGGTGGGAGAACCCTGCAAACCTATCTTCTCTATAGGAAATGATTCTAAGTAAGAACTACCAACAGCCAGCATCACCTTCATAGAATATGCTTATTTTTAATGCCCTAAAGCTTTGTACTTGAAGCACGGGTAGCATATTCTGTAAAGCCATGTGTCCTCGACTGTTTAGGAGTTAAGCTGCTAAGCCAAAGAATTAGCACAACAGTGGCCCACTAGCAGTGCACACACTGGAAGAGGAAAATACAAACCAGACTGGCACTTCTCAGCAGACCAGAATCTGTAAGAAGGGAGGCCTATGAAAAAAACACTTTATTAAACCCCAAGAAAAGCCACTGGTAGCTCTGAAGGCAACACACTCCTTAGAAAGTACTAACCCTATAACTCTTAGAGGTCGCCAGAGGGTCACTGCACAGGGAAGAAGACTGCAAAGAAAGACAAACAGATAAGCAAAAACAAATAATCGGTCTTACCATCACAAGAGCAGAATACTTAAGTTTATGATTTTATACAAATAATTCACTAGCATTCCTGAGTGCTTAAGGGAGTTTATAAACACATTAAGCTGGGAAAACCCAAGTCATTAGAAACCTTTTTGATATCACCTGTAAGGGGTAACAGCCAAGAACAATACTTGGAACAGCCTTTCATAAACATATGTATGTCTTGCTGGTCTTTGAACATTGTTATTAGGTTTGGGACAGCAACCTAAGAAAACACTAAAGAAAAGAGAATCATGGGGCAAGGAATGTGACAAATGGTGGCCACACCCAGTCACCAGAAGTCCCTGTGATATTTTCCATGATTTCAACCCAGACTCCAACAGGCTCAAATCAGTTGTTGGGAACCAGATAAATAAGCTATGAATTAAGGCTACAAACACTTAAAATAGATTGGGGGGGGGGGGAGTGAGAGAGAGAGAGAGAGGGAGAGGGAGGGAGAGGGAGAGGGAGAGGGAGGGAGAGAGAGGGAGAAGGAGGGAGAGGGAGGGAGAGGGAGGGAGAGAGAGGGAGAGGGAGGGAGAAAGATTAGAAATTTGTATTTCAAAACATGCTATGGACAAGTTGCCTTAATTTAATCAGATAATTCATACCAGTCACAATGAATTCATGTACTACAAGGACAAAGCATTTTGTTAAAAAAAAAAAAAAAAAAAGGGATTCATCTTTTCCTGATGTCATCTGAGAATACAATTTTCAGTTTTTCCAGCCAACTCAATCAGACATGGAAAATACGAGTATTACAGTTGTGTGTGTAGGTTTTGTAAACTACATTATTTCAAATATATTATGTGCTACACATTTAATGTGTTTTAAATAATGTGTGAAATGCCTTGAAAAAACAAGATTCTAAAAGAAAGAATTACATTCTTCTTATCCCATGTGTAGACTCTCACGTGTAAGCTCTTTAAAAAGTCTTATAATATACTGATGCCTCCAGCTTACACTGGAATGCATCAAAAAATGAGAGGATTGATGGACAGATAATTCTGTGATAAAGGAAATACAATAAATTGTATAACTAGTAGGCATGTAATGTTCACTATACAATTCTTTGAACTTGCTGAATGTCTGAAATCTGTTCATTAAAAAAATGAGAATACTAGCAATACTCATTCCAACGTGGTGATTTGGTGGTTGCCACTGTTTAAAGACACACTCAGACTATGTGAATTCAGTTGCAAAACTAATATGTACACACTCACAGATTAGATATCACTAGTAAAAATGCAAAACGAGGGATTAGAAATGTGTTAAAAGTAGATAAAACACACAAAGCCAAGGAACTTTAGACAAACCCGAGTGTAGTAGGTAGAGGTGGGTTTGCTATGTCTAAGACTGCTATAGTTTCTCTGGTCAAAGTAGAGGCCACTCTGTAAAAAGCAAAATTAAACACATTTTTCTTAGGTTAAAACAAATACAAAAAGTTTGAGCATAGAGGCAAAAAACTTTCTCCTCCAAAACAGTCTTTAAAGCACCATATCATACTAACTTGAAGTAAAAATTACTTTAAGTCTCAAAAAAATCAGCATTAAAATTTAAATACTGTCCTTTGAAAGACTTGAGTTTTGTTGAGCAAGTTGGCCATACTGCCATGCTATCCCCTTTTCTTCACTATCATTTTTTGAGTACAATTCAATTAGATTGTCATCATCTAGTAAGTCAATACACTTTCATCTTCACTGTTTGAAAGATGTTATACTTGTCAGAGAATCCTCATGGACCTAAGACAATTTCTTATGAAGTTGAATGCAAGGATATAACTACTCATAGTGGTTATATAAAAACACCAGCAATCTTCACTTTCACTGTCTTGATACAGCACTGTTACATGAAAATACATCAATTAAAGTATTTTTTAGAAAGCTGTTTTTAAACCAAGTCATTACTAATTATTTTTTGTTTAAAAACAGTTTTACAACAATGGGGGCAGATGCTGTGGTATAGTGGGTAAAGCTGCCTCCTGCCGTGTTGGCATCCCATAAGGACACTGGTTTGAGTCCCGGCTATTCCACTCCAATCCAGCTCTCTGCTATGGCTTAGGAAAGCAGTGGGAGATGGACCAAGTCCTTGGGCCCCTGCACCCTTGTGCAAGATCCAGAGGAAGCTCCTGGCTCCTGGCTTCAGATCGGCCCAGCTCCAGCCGTCATAGTCATTTGGGGAGTGAATCAGTGGATGGAGGACCTCTTTGCCTCTCTCTCTCTGCTCTAACTCTGCCTTTGAAAAAAATAAATAAATCTTTAAAAAAAAGTAGGAGCAGGCATTTGGCCTGGTGATTAAGATACCCTCGTCCCACCTGAGTATCCCAGTTTGAGTCTGCGCCCTGGCTCCTAACTCCAGCTTCCTGCTAATGCAGACCCTCAGAGACAGTAACCTGACTCCTCCCACCCGCATACAAGACCTGGATGGTAATCCTGGCTCCCAGTTTTGGCCCTGGACCTGGCCCAGCTCCCGCCATTGTGGGTGTTCAGAGAGTGAGCCAGCAGACGGAAGCCCCTGCTCTATCTGTGTCTGTTTTTCTGTCTCCCAAAAAAAGTAAATGAAAAAGAAAATTTCAATAAAAACAAGATAGTTAACTCTCAGATAAACTGGAATGGAAATAAGAGATTTATTCTCATGTCATACTTTAAAATGCCCTAGAAAAATCTGGACAACTGAGTAATTACTACTTTTATAATCTTTTTTGGAAAACCACAGAAATGATTAAAGAATCATTTGCTTTCAAATGTTTCTTAGCTCCATCACTTGCCAAAATAAATTGATCAAATTCAATTATCAAAGGAGAAAATGCATGCTACACAGTCTGGTATGAAGCATTTTCAACAGACTACACGAAACAAGTAAAACTTGGAAAAAGGAGTGACTTGAGGGAGGAAAATCTATAAAATTCCCTTAGCAGCTTCTCTAGCCAAATTTTATATGCAGGTTAAGCAAAAGGAGGCCACCCCTGATTTACCCCTTCTCAGCTGTGGACACTAAAGTCAAGGGCAACCCTGCTCCCACCTCATTCCTGCCTTCCTGCATCATTACCCACCCACCCCCTCAGCTAAGAGCCAGACTCTCTCCCTCCCTCCAGAGTACCCAACACCCAATACTCCAAGGCCTCCTGCTACGGCCCCTCCAATGCATTCCAAAGTCTCCCAATCCTCTCCTGACCCAAACCACTGAAACAGCGAATTAGCAGGGAGCTTGGGACTGTATTTCCTTTGCCAGTACTGTCACAGCCTAACAGGAAACTGGTGTTCCTAGCACCCAAAGTGGGCTTCCTAGAGACATCCCATCCCCATGGAAATGTTGGATAGCCAGGTGGCTAGAATAGACAGCATATTAGTTCTACGGTTTAATTAAAGACTTTTCATCACGCTAGCATGGGAATTCAATTATTACATACTTTATGGTTTTTTTTTTTAATTAATTAATTAATTTGAAAGACAGTTACCAGAGGAAGAGAGATCTTGCACCCACTGGTTCGCTCTCAATATGGTCACAATGGCTGAAGCTGGACCGGTCTGATGTCAGGAGCCTGGAGCTTCTCCCAGGTCTCCCACGTGAGTGCAGGGGCCCAAGGACTTGCGCCATCTTCCACTGCTTTTCCCTGGTGCATCAGTAGGAGTTGGACTGGAAGTAGAGCAGCAAGGACTCAGCCTGTGCCCGAATGGGAAACCGGCGCTGCAGGCAGCAGCATTACTAGCTGTACCACAGCACTGGCCCCACATACTTTATTGTTTCTACCCAAAAAATGTATTCCAAGTGTGGTGGAAGAGAAATCAACGGCAACATTCCAAATGCCGAATGAACAAACTTTGAGAAAAAACTTGCAGCTACTTTGTGGTATTGCGGGTAAAAATGCCACCTAGAACCCTGCATCTGGTTCCAGTCCCAGCTGCTCTACTTCTGATCCAGCTTCCTGCTGACACGTCTGGGAAAACAGCAGCAAATGGCCCAGGTGCGTGGGCCCCTGCCCCAACATGGGAAATCCAGATAAACCTCCTGACCCCTGGCTTCAGGCTGGCCCAAGCCCTGGCTGATGTGGCCATCTTGGGAATGAACTAGCAGATGGAAGATCTCTCCGTGTGTCTTCCCTCTCTCTGTAACTTAGCCTTTCAAATAAATAAAACAAATTAAAAAACAAAAAAAGAAGAAAGAAAGAAAACTTATGGGGTCAGCATTGTGGCATTATGGGTAAAGTCTCTACTTGCAAAGCTGGCATCCCATATAGGGTTGCTATATGGCTGCTCCACTTCTGATCTAGCTCCCTGCTAAAGGCCTGGGAAAAGCAGCAGAAAATGGGTCCCTGCCACCCACATAGGAGACCAGGATGAAGCTCCTGACTTCACCCTGGCCCAGCCATTGCAGCCGTCTGGGGACTAAACCAGCAAATCAAAGCTCTTTCTGTGTAACTGACCTTCAAATAAGTAAATCTTAAAAAAAAAAAAAAAAAAAAAAAAAAAGCAAACAAAAACTTATTTTTTTGAGTTTGGTACTGCCCATAACACTACAGCCAAACCAATTCAAATTTCTAAAATAAGGATGCAAAGCTCACTAAACCTATCCTTAAGGCATATTCCAAAAGATAACTGATAAATGAAAATACCTTGTCAATGAGCTTCTTGTACTACTTTACTAACTGTAGCTCCTAGAGTACTAAGCATACGCTAATTTGATACTAACTCCTGAAAATTAAAAAAATGTAAATGAAGTTCTAATAAGTTGTGTTTCAGTCCATTATGAAATTTCCATAATGCCTTAGGAGCACACCAAAGCAGTCACAATTCTTAAATTCCCTAAGATGACACAAGAAAACTAACCAGTGGGTCCTTATGAGAACCAGATGACCTCTTCTTCGTTCCATAAGAGGGACTGTAAGAATGATTCTGGAAGTAAATATTTAACTTTAATTAACACATAATAAAGTTTTAAAAATGAAGCATCATAAAATCACACACACAAAGGTCTATACGAAGTGTAGGCCAGGCTGCATGCAATCTGCTTCCCATCTGTTAGTGGACGATCCGCTGCATGTGAACGGCTAAGGTACAGGGCCTCCCCACACATCTGCAATCCTGTCTCTCCCCTGTGCCCAGGAAACAAAAACTGATCAGGACTTAAACCAGGCAAGAGATCTGTAGGGACCTTCACCCCACAACTCATTTGAGTCTATCATCTTTATGAAGATGACAGTCTACCTTCTTTCATAATATTCCTTACCCAAAGGCTAACAAGCAATCCTTTGGCTCAATCAAAACAGAAGTGACCAAATAAAGAACATGACGTTGCACTTCCCCAGACAATACTCTTAACCCAGTGAGTGGTGCTCGGGGGAGACCTGTCAACACAGAATGGAGGACCCAACACTGCAGCAGTGTTACTAAATGGTCATCCTGTGCAAGGCCCTCGGAGGTCAGGAGCATGACTTGCTCTCCTGAAACAAGGGAGTCCAGCTATAAATACCATACCTTTTTAGAGCCAAAGGCAACAGACGGTTCTACTCTAAGCAAATCTTCTCCCATGATACAGTCCAAATCAATGACTATAAACTCAGTTTTCTATTTTTGAATAGGCATCTTTTTTATACATTACTGCAAACATTTTAAGAGATATCCACACTCCCCTGGTCTAGAAACTCAAGCAGCCTATTCACATAACATCGTCCAAAGAAAAACAAGCTACATCTTTACTTGCTTGGCTAATGTGAAATACCATAAAAAGAAACCAAGCTAAACCAAAACACTTGGACTAAACATTTCAGGCACTGTCTATCACTACTGGATGTTTTCTGTATGGCAACTTCACACCTGCTAGCTTGTGACATACAAAATGAAACACAACTGGGCCTGTATCAACACGCTGTTGGAGGGGCTGGCACTGCTCCAAAGCGGGGTAAGCTGCTGTTGGGACACCCACTTCCCATATTGGAGAGGCAGTTTGAGTCCTGGTTCCTCTGCTTCTGATCTGACTTACTGCTAATGCATTGTGGAAGATAGGGAATGATAGCTCAAGTGCTTAGACTTCTGATATCATGTGGGAGACCTGGGCTCCTGGCTTCCACCTGGCCCAGCCCTGGGAGTCAATCAGCAAATGGAAAATACCATCTCCCTCCTTTCTTTCCTCTTCCTTCCTTTCCTTTCCCTTTCCTTCCTTTCTCTCACTCTCTTCCCTTTTCAAATAAAATAAAAACTTAAACAAACACTGGGGCCAGCACTGTGGTGTACTGGGTAAAGCCGCTGCCTGCAGTGCCAGCATCCCATATGAGTGCTGGTTCAAGTCCCAGCTTCTCCATTTCCAATCGAGCTCTCTGTTATGGCCTGGGAAAGCAGTGGAAGATGGCCCAGGCTCCTGGCTTGGGATCAGTTCAACTCTGGCTGTTGCAGCTATTTGGGGAGTGACCCAGCAGATGGAAGACCTCTCTCTCTGCCTCTGCTTCTTGGTAACTCTGCCATTCAAAAAAATAAATAAATCTTTAAAAAAAATAAAAAGCACTGTTAGAAACATGCTTTCTAGGGCAATGAGTCCGTGTGAGGTGAGTGGTTCCTCGCTTTGAGATCAGTTATCACCACCAATCTTTAGTTCTAAATGAGGATGCAAATCATTTCCATTTCATCTTGAAACTCTAAGAGAAAATTACTATTCCAATAAAAAATTATATCACAATCACAAAATAAGTTTTTGCTTTGTTAATCACACATATTCCCCAGAAGATCATAACAAAGCTGTACAATTTATTTACAATCTATGACTAACACCAACAAATGATTATAAAATAAAACCCCATATGCAACACAAAGCCATGTACTACATACTAATGATGAAAGTCTTGATGATCTGTCCTTGAGGTGACCATACTGGTCAAAGTTGATTGCATTTCCAAATTCAAAAATACAAAGAGGGGGGAAATAAAGCCTACAGTTATTAAAAATCCAATAATATTTTAAAATACTAAATAGTAAAGCTATTATGTTATGGCAAGTGCTGTGGTGCAAGGAGTGAAGCTGCCACCTGGGACATCCACATTCCAGATCTAAGTAGCCATTCAAGTCCCAGCCATTCCACCTATATGCTAATGCAGACAGGAAATGATGGCTCAAGTGCTCAGGACCCTGTTCCCCACAGGGGAGACCCAAATGGACCTCTGAGCTCCTGGTTTTGGACTGTCCCAGCAACCCTGGCTGTTGCAGGCATGTGGAAAGTAAATCAGCAAATGGGAGGTATCTGTCTCTGTAGATGGCCCAAGTCCTTGGGTCCCTGTACCCACGTGAGAGACCTGGAAGAAGCTCATGTCTCCTGGTTTCAGATCAGCTCAGCTCTGGCCATTGTGGTCATTTGGGTAGTGAACCAATGGAATGGAAGACCTCTCTCTCTCTGGCTCTACCTCTCTCTCTGTAACTCTGTCTTTCATATAAATAAAATAAATCTTAAAAAAAAAGCCATTATATTTGAATTACAAAATGTCCTTCTTCCTACTCTTCCTAGTATAAGTTAATGCTAAAGTGTATGTATACTTAAAACTGCTCATTTTTCTTTCAAACATGGGACTGAACGAGCTGAACTGCAATCAACCTGTTTTAATTTCCCTTTTCAAAATATAATGTAGAGGCCGGCGCCGTGGCTCACTAGGCTAATCCTCCACCTGCGGCGCCGGCACACCGGGATCTAGTCCCGGTCAGGGCGCCGGATTCTGTCCCGGTTGCCCCTCTTCCAGGCCAGCTCTCTGCTGTGGCCTGGGAGTGCAGTGGAGGATGGCCCAAGTGCTTGGGCCCTGCACCCCATGGGAGACCAGGAGAAGCACCTGGCTCCTACTTAGGATCAGCGTGGTGCACTGGCCACATTGCGCCTGCGGCGGTGGCGGCGGCCATTGGAGGGTAAACCAACGGCAAAGGAAGAACTTTCTCTCTGTCTCTCTCTCTCTCACTGTCCACTCTGCCTGTCAAAAAATAAATAAATAAATAAAATTAAATTTAAAAAAAAGAAAAAGAAAAAAAATTATTGAATAAAACAGAGCATTTAACATGTACACTCACAGAAAAAGTGATAGTCTTCTATAGGATATGAAACTTTTATTACACTTCAAATTCACATGTTGACTTTTTAAAATATTGGGAACTTTACTTCATCCCATAATAGCAAATTTCCATAATTATCATACTGAAATCATGGAAAGTTATAAGTGCTACAATTCCCATAAAGAAGAAAAACAATCTCATTACCTTAGAGATATTCCAGATAAGTAATTCCTTACAGTTTAATTACATCTTTCTTCTTTGTTTGCGGATTTGTTTTAAAGGCCCTAAATTAAGTCAAACTTAGGTTGCTTTAACTTTAACTTATAAACTAACATAATCAAATTTCCTAGGGTTATATAGCAACTTACAAATAACTTGCTTGATAACAACTATGTGAAAATTCACATTCTGAACCACAGAAGGAAAGCAAAGAAAAAAGTGCATACATTAAAAAGAGAAGGGGAGGGGTAGCAATCATTTTCACAGTCTGGAGCCACTCAACTTTGAAGTGCTTGTTGACTAATTCTCTTACTTTAGAAATCTTCTCAAAGTATTTAAAGAGGAAAAAAAAAGCATCTCTAGGGAGAAACATAACAAATTTATAAAAATAAAGTTTCTGTCCTGCAAAATCACTTTCAAGCTCATTATGTTAGATTTCTATAAAGATTTATTAATATTCTACTATTCTTAAAAACCTAAGGCTTTATAACTAAAATACGTATGATTCAAACACTAGTTTGCTGTGGCGCAGTGGGTTAAAGGCCCGGCCTGCAGCACCAGCATCCCAGTCGGGTGCTAGTTCAAGTCCTGGCCGCTCCACTTCCAGTCCACCTCTCTGCCATGGCCTGGGAAAGCAGTGGAGGATGGCCCAGCTGCTTGGGCCCCTGCACCCACATGTCAGACGTGGAGGAGGCTCCTGGCTCCTGGTTTCGGATCAGCTCAACTCTGGTCATTGCAGCCATCTGGGGAGTGAACCAGTAGATGGAAGACCTCTCTCTCTCTGGCTCTACCTCTCTATGTAACTCTGTCTTTCAAATATACAAAATAAATCTAAAAAAAAAAAAAAAAAAGAAAGAAAGAAAGAAAGAAAGAAACTGCCTCCCTAGGAAGCAGGTTGCTAGGGCTTTAAAAAAAAAAACTAATTAACTAACTTACTCTAAAAACACAGATCACATTCATCATAATAAAAATAACCAGTGTGAAAGATTGTCTATGATTATAAATGTGTCAATAACTAGTAAGTCAGAACAAGCTACGTTTATTACACCATATTCTTTTTATATATATTATATAATGTGGGAAGACAAACAGAATTGGGGAAAATTAACACATAAGACCTTACCTGAAAGATTATTTTACTAATGAAAAGCCCAGATGGATCACTATGCAAATTAAAAGCATTGCCTTGAGGTTTAGAGCATAAATCTCTAACAGGAAGGAGAGCAAGCAGGGTCTCAGCGCAATAAGCCAGCCTTATTTTAAGAAGCAATTTCTAATTAACCTTGATTTATTACAGTCTATGCTAAATAGGTAGGAAGTGTTCAGCAAGATGGCAAAGCATGATAAGCAGAGCACTTTTCAAGTCAACAGTTCAATTTTTCCATATAATGAAACTGTAATTAGTCACCCAAGCCTCAAAACTATTTCCCATTTAATAAACTGTATTTAAGATATTAAAGTAGGAAAAACCTGAGAGTTAGAACTAAGCAGATGTTATTCTATATAATTAATTGTATTATTTTGTGATACTTTTCCAAAATCAATGTCCTTCTACAGAAAAAGAGAATAGACAGGATAGACTAAAATATTCATGATCTGAGAATTTATTTACAGCAATAATTTGAATGAAAGCCTCACTTTTCAATCAAAGAACTCTGCTATTTTCTACATTTTTTTTAAAGACAAGGAATAATGAACACTGCCAGACTGTTGAGGCGATTGCTGATGCTGACGAAAGCTCACCCACTGCTACTACGGTATAAACAACTTCAGATACCAACCCTGTGACTGCCAAGACTCCGAAGGGACAACGCATCCTCAACTTTCTGATAAAAAGAAAAACAAACAGTAAGAGTTCATGAATGATCACATTAAGCTAGTGAGAAAGAGCATTATGGACATTTTACAAGTTACTACAAACCAGAGAAGGACGATGATGACTGGACCGGTGGGAAAACCTGGCCCTTTCCGAGTCTTCCTGGAAAAAGGAAAAAGTGTATGGAGAGTTAATGACTGATCAGACAGCTGCTTATCAGAACTGAGCAATCCTAGACGTGGCTTCACAGAGCACCTTAGGGTAGCTGCATGCATGATTTTGTTGGGAACAAAGTAGAAACAATATTGGCAACATTTTGATTTTATCAAGCTGTATGCATTTTTATAGCCAAAAAGCTCAATACATCAAGATAAAAATACACAAGTATACTTAAACAAAAGTTGAGTTCAGCATTAAGAGACATCTTTTTTAATTGTTAACATTAATTTATCATCATATTTTTTAAATATTTATTTATTTATTTATTTGAAAGTCAGAGTTACAGAGAGGGAGGGAGAGACAAAAAGAGACAGCAAGATCTTTCATTCACTAGTTCACTACCAAGATGTCTGCAAGAGCCAGTGCTGAGCCAAGCCAGAGCCAGGAGCCAAGAGCTTCATCTGGGTCTCCATCATGGGTGGCAGCAGCCCAAGTTCTTGGACCATCTTCTGCTGCTTTTCCCAAATCATCAGAAGGGAGCTATATCAGAAGTGCAGCAGCTGCGATACGAACTGGCACCCACATGGGATGCCAGCATCACAGGAAGCAGTTTTTACACACTATACCACAACGCTGACCGCAATCACAGATGTATTTTTTTGCATATCTTTTAATCTATTTATTTGACAGATAGAGTTAGACAGTGAGAGAGAGAGACAGAGAGAAAGGTCTTCCTTCCGTTGGTTCACCCTCTAAATGGCCGCTACAGCCAGAGCTACGCCAATCCGAAGCCAGGAGCCAGGTGCTTCCTCCTGGTCTCCCATGCGGGTGCAGGGCCCAAGCACTTGGGCCATCATCCACTGCACTCCCGGGCCACAGCAGAGAGCTGGACTGGAAGAGGAGCAACCGGGACTAGAACCCAGTACCCATATGGGATGCTGAGGCCACAGGCGGAGGATTAACCAAGTGAGCCACGGTGCCAGTCCCACACAGATGTATTTTAAGGAGAGAGTATATTGCTTTAAAAACACTGGGTTATAATTTTGTGATCACTGTAAAGAACTTTTTTCTCATTCACCAATCTAACTGGGAAGGAACAAATAAGTTAAACAGATCTAGATTACATGTTGCTAACATGAAAAACTAAATACTTAACAGAAATTACATAAACAACTAAGGGTGGATAAAGTCACCTCAAGAGTCATACTTTAAGCATATATTTAAAAACTTACCACAACCCCCAATAGCTAACTAAATTAAATGTAATTTAAACTTTTCCACATTCAGCTATTAGCAATGGAGCATTGGTTAGTTCAAAGAGCCTTGTACTAAAGGTAAGTTAATCCTATATGCCCCTCCCAGTATTATCTGGAATACCAGGGTGACATACATGTTGGGCCAATATCCCCTTTATACTCTCTTTTCTTTTGTTCCACTAGCTACCCAAGAGCACTTTTTAAAAATCCATCTGGGAGCCGGCTCTGTGGCATAGTGGGGTAAAGCCACCACCTCCAGTGCCCACATCCCATATGGGCACCGGTTCAAGTCCCAGCTGCTCTACTTCCCATCCAGCTCTCTGCTATGGCCTGGGAAAGCAGTAGAGTACGGCCCAAGTCCTTGGGCCCCTGCACCCACATGGGAGACCCAGAAGGAGCTCCTGGCTCCTGGCTTCAAATCAGCACAGTTCCAGCTGTTGCAGTCATCTGGGGAGTGAACCAGTGAATTGAAGACTTTCTCTAACTATCTCTCTCTTTCTGTAATTCTTTCAAATAAATAAATAAATCTTTTTAAAAAATCCATCTAAAGAGCACGGCAAAGACAGGCAGTTGACACAGCAGTTTTAAGAAGTCACTTGGGGAGTTGGTGACGTGGTACAGCTGGCCTGCAGCACCAGCATCCCAGTGTGTGCAAGTTCAATTCCCAGCTGCTCCACTTCTGATCCAGCTCCCTGCTAATACACCTGGGAAAGAAACAGAAAATGGCCCAACTGCTTAGGCCTCCATACCCCAGAAGGAGACCCAGGAGAAGATCTTGGCTCTTGGCTTCAGTGTGGCCCACCTCCAGTCATTACAATCATTTGGGGAGTGAACCAGCAGACGGGGGATATCGCACGCGCTCTCTCTCTCTCTCTCTCTTCTCTCTCTCTCTCTCTCTCTAACTGCCTTTCAAATAAATAATTTTTTTTAAAAAAGAAGTCACTTGGGACACCTACATTCCACAGCCAAGTGCCTGGGTTTAAGTCCCAGCTCTGCTTCCAATTACAACTTCCTGCTAACAGGCACCCAGGAAGGCAGCAGACGAAGCCTCAAGTACTCGGGTCCCTGCTAACCCATGGGAAACCCAGATTAAGTTCTGGGCGCCAGGCCGTGGCCCAGCCCAGACTCAGATGTGGCAGGCATTTGGGGAGTAAACAACAGGCAGAAGATCTCTCACTGTCTCTCTGCCTTTCAAATAAAAATAAGAAAATGTCTTAATTAAAATAGAGTATGACCCTTCAAATATACAGCAAAAACAGATGAATTCATGTTCATTTTCAATTATGCTTATGATAAAAATAAACTCACATTAAAGTATCTTACTAAGTACTGATACAGTTCTATATTTAAACAGCTTTTCTTTTTAGCTCCATTTGAAAACCTGCTCTACAAAGATTTGAGAAGATTACACAGTGGAGATGGGCATTTGGTCTAGCAGTCAAGATAAGTTAGGATCCTGACAGCCCACATCAGAGCACTGGGGTTTAATGCATAACTCTGCTTCTGATCCCAGCTTCCTGCCAATGCAGACCCTAGGAGGCAGCAGTGATGGCTCAAGTAATGGGTTTTCTGACATCAAAGAGAGACCTGGATTGTGTACCCAGCTCCTGGCTTCAGCTTCCTGCCTAGGAGCATTGTAGGAATGAATCAGTGGATGCAAGCTTGCAGGCTCACTTCCCCCCACCCTGCCTCTAAAATAGATAAACTGGGGGGAAGGGGCAGAATACAGAGTAAAACAAAAACCCCACATAGGCACATAGGCCAGTTAATTTAAACAAAGAACATAATTGATTCCATATCAAACTACACCTTAAAAAAGTACTGTCCAAAAGAACTTCCTGTAGCAAAGGAAACGTTCTACATGTGTGTCAGTATGGTAACTAAAACCCACATGGTGCTACTGGCCCTGGAAATGCTGGAAGCACAACAAAGAAACCAAAATGTAACCTGGACGTAGAAGCAGGCATTTGGTGTAGTAACTGAGATGCTGCTTGGGATGCCTGCTTGCTCCGTAGGAGAGCCTGAGCTCAAGGCCCAGCTCTGCCACCCGCTCTATCTTGCTGCCAGTGTGCACTCTGAGAAGCGGCAGATGCGGGCTCAAGTACCAGGGTCCCCAGCAGCCACGTGGGAAACCTGCACTGAGCTAACAACTCCTAGCTTCGGTCTGGTTCAGTCCTAGCCGTTGTGGACGTCTGGGAAGTGAACTAGAGGATGAAAGAGCTCTGACTCTTGTCTCTCCATCTGTCTCTGTCTCCCTCTGCTTCTCTCTCTCTCTCTCTTTCAAATAAATAAATGTTAAATAAGTGAATAGCACTAAACATTGAAAAATTAAAAATAAAGTGCTTAATTTTAAACAATTTAAATTTAATTATCTATACATAGCTAGTGATTACTGCACAGAATAGCATTTCTCAAAACCTCTATGACAAGGGGCTGGCATTGTGGCATAGGAGGTTAAGCCTCAGCCTGCGGTGCCACCATCCCCCACGGGCGCCAGTTTAATCTGGCTGTTCTTGCAATCCAGCTCGCTGCTGATGGCCTCCAGAGCAGCGGAGGAGGCCCAGGTGCTTGGGCCCCTGCGCCCATGTGGGAGACCTGGAAGAAGTTCCAGGCTTCCAGCTTCAGCCTAGCCCAGCCCTGGCCATTGCGGCCATTTGGGTGGTGAACCAGTAGATAGAAGACTTCTCTCTCTCTCTCTGTCTTTCTCTCCCTCTCTCTGTAACACTGTCTCTCAAATAAATCTTTTAAAAAAAAAAAAAAAAAAAAAAAAAAAAAAAAAAAAAAAAAACTGACAAAATATACGTTCAGGGAAAACATTAAAGCAAGCTGAATATACATTTTTACTGTACCAAAAACACACAAAATACATACTGTGGGGTGGGCATTTGGCCCTACTTGGCATCTCAAGATCTCAAGGAATGGCTGGCCTCAAACTCTGGCACTGCTTCCCATTCCAGCTCACCCTGGGAGGCAGCAGATGACAGCTCCAGTATTTGGTCCCTGTTACCCACATGGACACCCAGATTAGGCTCCAGATTCCTGGCTTCAGCCTTGAGAGAACTGGGGAATGGATCCGCAGACAGAGATCCCTGTCTCTCAGCATACTGTCCTGAGAGTAGGCTGGCAGCACCACTCTCACACGGAAAGAAAAAACATTTATGTACTTTCTACTTACTCCTCCTACCTTGAAAACTTTACATAGTGGCAAATGGGAGGAAAACAGAAGGAAATTGTAGAAAAGGCCTCAGGCCAACGCCGTGGCTTACCAGGCTAATCCTCCACCTGTGGCACTGGTACCCCGGGTTCTAGTCCCAGTTGGGGCGCCAGGTACTAGTCCCAGTTGCTCCTCTTCCAGTCCAGCTCTCTGCTGTGGCCTGGGAGGGCAGTGGAGGATGGCCCAAGTGCTTGGGTCCCTGCACCCACATGGGAGACCAGGAAGAAGTACCCGGCTCCTGGCTTTGGATCAGCGCAGTGCCAGCCATAGCAGCCATTAGGGGAGTGAACCAACGGAAGGAAGACCTTTCTCTCTGTCTCTCTCTCACTGTCTATAACTCTCTCTCTCTCTCACTGTCTAACTCTGCCTGGCAAAAAAAAAAAAAAAAAAAAAAAAAAAAAAGCCTCAGTAATAACTCTAGAATTGTCTTTAAGAGCTAGTAGAGAGCCGGGCACCATGGAATAGCAGGTAAAGCCGCCACCTGCAGTGCCAGCATCCCATATGGCTTCGGTTCAAGACCCGGCTGCTCCACT